GGGGGATTGCAGGTGACATGGGACCTACTTCTGAAGAAAACACATGATACAGATGTATACACACAAGCTTGTGTGCACGCACACTCACACATGCACACACCACTGAAGACTGGTCACATGACTCGTTTCTCAACTGTATTGCATAATAACGTTGCCATTTGGGAAAGTGGGCTCTTCTCTTGCTAAGGCTGTCAACAACTCTAAGAAACGCCTTTAAGGGGAAGATAAGACCAGTCGAATTCCTGTAACGTAGAAGAGACCACATGACAGGGAGTTGACCAGAGGAGAGAACACACTGGGCTGCGTTCCTCGCTTGGCTACTTGCGAACCAACCGTGAGGCTTTGGGCAAGTTGTGTAACCTCACTGAGATTGTTGGGGTTTTTTTTATCTACAGAATGGTCAGAGGTGTGATTTTCAGAGATGATAATGAATATCAAATGGCTAGAATGGTGACTGACCTGAAAGAGAAGCCAGGAGAGAAAGGGATTAGAATCCTGTGACAGCCATGTTTTTAAATGGGGAAGCAGAAAGATCACAGGACAGTGAGACCACACGAAGCCAAGCAAGCTGCAGAACCACGGCCTGGCACACACTGGCAGGGCTTGTCTGCCTGCCAGAACCACAGCCTGGCACACATTGGCAGGGCTTGTCTGCCTGCCAGAACCACGGCCTGGCACACACAGGCAGGGCTTGTCTTCCTGCCTGCTCGACTCTGAGCTCTTTACAAGTACTTGCCACTCCTCACAAAGGTGCTCTGAGATAAGTACTTTGATCCCCACCACCACCACCACCACCACCTAACACTGGTTCAGGAGCAGCTAGGAAGCAGATGGTCAGGGGTAGACAGCCCCAAGACTGTATGCTCAGCATCACAGTAGGCCAGGTCCCAAGACTCACACGAGGCACGGGCAGACAACCATTTGACTCAGACACAGAGACTGATGTCCAGAGCCGATGAATACCTGCAGCCGGAGGCTCGAGGGAGCACCACCCTGCCTTCATTTCAGACTTTCTGACTTCTGGAACCTTAAGAAGAACAAAATGCTGCTGTTTTAAGCCACATAGCTAAAGGTAATTTATTATGCCAGCCACGGGAGATTAATACCAGGACTGCACACATCTCCTGAAACACACACAATGCTTTTCTCAGAGTTGCCTCACAACTCTTGTCTTCCAGAAGAAACATCTTGTGTCCCTTTGTCCTTAAAATGTGTGTGTGTGTGTCTGTGTGTGTGTGTCTGTGTGTGTGTGTGTGTCTGTGTCATATTTTTTGAGATAGCATCACACAGGCAGGACTCAACTTTGCAATCCTCCTGCCTCAGCTCTCCAGTGTTGACATTGTAAGCACGTGCCACCCTATCCAACTTTATGTGTTGTGTTACTTTAATTTTTAAAATGCCACAGTGGGATAAATAAGATAGCATGGCCCAAGGCCAGCTAATATCCTGTCCCAGTTCAGACAGAAGCAAAACATTATTAAGTATTGATATTAAAGCTTACATTTGCTATTGAATTCGTGGGGGAGACAAGCCATGGCTGCATAAAAAATGTATTTGTAGTACATCCCACCATATAATAGCATCAAAAATATATAAGGCTTTCAACAAATCATTATAAATGTGATCGAGAAACCCACAGGGGAGGGCAAAGGATGCCAAAGATGTAAACAGATGGATAGCGGAGGGAGTGGAAACGGTCTCACCCGGGGAAGTACACAGCCAAGCATCCTCACTTCCCACGGGAAAACACAGATTCGGACGCCCCTGGTGGAGGATCACTGCACACTCCTGGGACAGTCACAAATCCAGACACTTGGTGAGACCAAGCCTGAGAACAGTGGGAAACAGGAGCTTGCCAACATGCCCAGGGGTCTTGATTTGTTTAGAAATGGTCTTAGGAGCCGGGTGCTGATACCGTTTTGTTGTTGTTGTTTTTGTTTTGTTTTTCGAGACAGGGTTTCTCTGTGTAGTTTTGGTGCCTGTCCTGGATCTCGCTCTGTAGACCAGGCTGGCCTCGAACTCACGGAGGGAGATATACCTGGCTCTGCTTCCCGAGTGCTGGGATTAAAGCCGTGCACCACCACCGCCTGGCTGATACCATTTTTGAAGCTCTTCTTATGAGTCTATCAAGGCCAGAGGAGGATCTAGGAGCTGAGACCTGCGTGTTAGCCTGGTGTCTGCTTTCCTAACTGAACTCTCACAGGGGCCTGCAGGTGTCTGACCTTGACTTTCTTATTTCCCTGTTTCTGTCTTTCCCTCCAACATTTGAAGCCAGTCCTTGATGTCAGTCTGCCTGATGATTTTGTTCATCAAGTTGAGCATCACCAGCCCTTCACCAATTCTAGGGTTTTCAGTAGTCATGTAGTGAGCCCCTGCTATATCCCAGATATTTTTAATACCAGTGACTATACTTCATCCATGATCTGATTTGTCAGCATTCCAATTTCCGTTTCCACCTCAAGTCTTTCCCTCTGGTGCCAACAATTCCCCAACCTCACTGCATTGGTCAGAAACATCATGACCCATCCCTTCACTGTGCCTCTGCATTCACATTCAGCTACCTCTCTCCTCTCTCCTCAATCTGAGTTAAGCTGCTCTCTCCCCTGGACCACAGAGCCCTGCTCTGGGATGCCATTCTGTATGCTGTGAATATGTGTTGCTCTGATTGGTTAATAAATAAAATGCTGCTTGGCCAGTAGCCAGGCAGGAAGTATAGGCAGGGTAAGCAGATGAGAATTCTGGGAAGAGGAAGGCTGAGTCAGGAGTTGCCACCCAGACACAGGGGAAGCAAGATGACAAGGCAGAACTGAGAAAAGGTACCAAGCCATGTGGCTAAACATAGATAAGAATTATGGGTTAATTTAAATGTAAGAGCTAGTCAGTATTAAGCCTGAGCTAATGGCCAAGCAGTTATAATTAATATAAGCCCCTGTGTGCTTACTTGGGGGACATGAGTGGGAGAGATTTGTCCCGACCACTGGCTGGCCAGGACACATAAAAACTTCTGACTACAGAGCCCAAGTTGCTTAAGGGAGTCAGGAGTACCTGTACCACTCAGGGCTGGTCTCATGTGAAATGCATACTATGTCCTAACCTCAAGGGGGCGCAATCCTACCAGCCTCCCCACCGTCCTTCCCTGGCCCAGCATTCTCCTCCCCTTCCTCACCCCTCTAACCTTGTCCTTCTTTACTCCTCTGACATTACTTCCCTTTCTGCATGCTTGGTTGGTGATGCTTCATGTCCAACAAAGAAAACAGACCTCTCCAGAAGAGCGGCGCTCTAACCCTCTGCAAAGCTCTGCCAGCCTACCTGAACTGCTTGTGGCGCAGAGGACTCCCCTTCTGCCCTGTCCCCTCAGTAAAGCCGCTCTTGCGATTAGCCTCTCTCTGCTTTAATGTCAACATGATTCTACACACAGCGTTGTGGTTTCTTCACCTCTAGAAAGCAGACCCCTTACTTTAAACACACAGCCTCCTCATCCCGGTTCCGCCTCACATCAGAACTCTGCTGATATATTTTTTTTTTCCAGTCACCATCACAATGATTCTCCTTCTCTTCTCTTAAATAAGCACCAATCAGGTTTCCTTCCCTGCCGCTCAAGAGAGAGAACTCTTTTCAAGGCCATAAACCGACTAGCATAATGCCAAACCCAAGTGGTCTCGTTCCATTTTTCATCTCACTTCAATTATCAAGCAGCATGTTCTATGGCCAGAACATCTCAAAAGGTTTTCTTTCTGGGCGTTCTGGACACCCGTCTCCCCTCCCCTTCCTTGAGTTAATTCCCTGTGAACTCACAGGCACTGGGCTTCTCTTCCTTAACTCCATCCTGTCTCGTGGCATCCACGCCAGGGACTCCCCAGGAACCGTCTCCAGCCCAGTTTCCCAGAACTTCAGACTCTTCCATCCATGCCTGCTAGACACTCGTGAGGCCATTCTTGCCGAGAACCAGACCCTTGCATCCTCACTACCCTGATCTCCCAAACTGCCCTTTACATTCTTTCTCATCTGCCTTTGATCTTTCTACTCTCCCAGAATCTCGGTCCAAGATCCTGGAAGTAATCAATAACTCTTTTCCCTTGTTGAAGCTATCAAGA